AAGTTCCTGGCGCAGCATGTCCCAGCCCTTGGGTAGATTCTCTTTGGGCCCTGCCATCTTGAGATCATCCACGTAGATGACAAGTAAGAGCTTCATTTGCGGGTGGAAATACAATGATGGCCATTCATCGCCAATCGGCTTGAACCCTACTTTCTGTACCGCGGTGTGGCAATGTTGTTCCCACATGGTTCCTGCGTCAGGATGTCCATATAGAGCTTTGATCAGGCGGCATACAGGCCTACGGAATTTATGCCGTTTCGCAGATGGATGCCAGGCTTCATCAGGCAGTTCAACCCAACATGGAGTGCCCGATAATCTAGCCTGAATGTATGCTTGGATAGCATCCGCCATCTGGACATCGTTGCCAGGAAGGCATCCGTAATAATCTGCCCATCGTGAGGCGTCAAACGTAGCCGGGGAATTCCCCAAATCCTGAAACAATGCGGCTTCCATATTCTGATCCTTGACCTGATCACCGAGTAGTACGCCTCGCCCTTTGAACTTCCTGGCAGGATCGTCCTCCTTGAGCTGATAGTTCTTCTCATATATCAGTCCATGTACTCGCGCCATGTGTACTTTCTCACCTTTCTTCTTTGCCTCAGCGACGACGTCGTCATATTCACGCGTAGTTGAGAAGTCGAACACCTCTTGGTCCCACAATCCCTTCCATTCTTTCATGAAAGCTTCCATGGCCTTGGGATTGTTGATCATCTCTGTGCGTGTGACGGGTCGAGTGACCATGGCATTGAAGCACGATCCTCCTGCATGATTCTTTTCCCGATGTACGTTTCTGTGAGAAGTCGTACACGGCATAGAAGGAATCCAGTTTTCATCCATGACCATATGCGCCGGAACGGCCGGCACGACATCTGCCAAGAATTGTTCCTGTGTATATTGATCCACATAGGACTGTGCCCATGACCAACCATCGTCGTCATCAACGGACACGTTGAGTTGCAGATCAATTTCTTCACATGGGACAATCTTGGGAAAGATCATGTTGTCAAAATCTTGGTAACTATCTTCTTTCCTATCACAGCCTTCTTCCGGTCTTTCTTGGCAACTCGAGCTTTGTCTCGCTTTTCTTTCTTGTATGCTGCCTTCTTCTCCGTTTCGCTCATCTTCTTCCATGCTTCCGGAGAATAAGAATGGATAGGTCGCCGTGTAGGAAGAGTTCGTCGACCGTCACTTCGGATCTTATACGGAACTCCCCTTTTGTCGATCTTGCAGGCTTCACCGTCATCGGTGAGATATACAATGCCGTCCCCTTTCTTCCCCGTACTCCAATGTTCAATCTCCTCGGGAGCCAACTTCTTTTCTTTCAAGATCTTGATAATCTCTCCAGGTTCTTCGATGTCTCCTTCGGGGATGAGTCTACCGGTTGGACCGACTTCGCGGGGCGATCGTCGATCTTTCCCAGTGACCTTTGGTTCAGAAGGAGGCGGTGCTGCACGTAGACCCAGCTCTTCGTCTAGTTCTTCGAGTCTTTTGTCTCCTATGGCATCAATAGCTTCATGTTCTGCTGACTTGAAGACCTCGCCGGGCGGCTCCGTCTCTATGTCAGATGGATCTATGTCCTGTAAGTCAGGATCTTCTCCGGGATCCGGTGGAGGAAGAAGTCCATTTGGATCATCTTCATCCCCGTCGCCACCATTTCCTCCGGGCGGACCGTCATCACCGTCATCGACGTCTTTTATCTCCTTGCCAGCGAGGTCAACGTTGTCCCTGAGTCCCTCAATGGTTGAATTCATCCTTTCGTACTCGGCTTTCAGGGGAAACGTTATCTCCTCTGGGAAGTAGATAACTTCTGTCTCGTACGGTCTCATCAACTTCCTGGGAACAGATGCGTCCATCGACAAGTTCGCGTTGGCAAATTCCTTCATATCCCAAACGCGATACTTCTTGGACCATCCTTGACCAGCAGTGATGATGTATCCGGCAAAAATGCCTGGAATCCCCTTTGGATCGAATTTGTTGCCATATGTCTTCGGCCTTGTGTCCGTCGGCTTGAAGAAGACTTTGGCCCCAAAGGGTATGGCTTTTCCCTCGAAGTCCTTTCCAGTCATTCGCTTCCATGCTGAATCACCATCGCCCTCCACGTCTTCAACGTTGAGGTTCTGCATCACGCAATTAAGCGCAAAGGACCAGTATTGAGCGGGCAATCCGGCGTGTAGCATGGATGCTGCGACTGTGTTGATCACTTCTTGATTTGATCGTTCAGCGAGTGAATTGTTACTGGGTTTCCCTGGAAGGGAATGATCTATCACGATCTTCAACTGCGCCATAGCTGAATCGAACTCTGGTGCTTCATCACTATACGCCATATGAATCTTGCGTCTTCCCATAAGGCGTCTGATGGCCATGACGACTTCATCAGTGCTCCTTGAAGCCGTGGGAATCGCTGCGATCATTTTGGTGGCGATGTCTCTGATGACTAGAACTTCACGTGCTCCGTCATCGAGTCCGATGCCTGCTTCGGCGGCCTTGCGCATGTCAAGGAAGTCGAACGTCACAAGATCTCCCCAGTGTTTGATCACACGTTGAAACGCACCTCGTTGTGTTCGCAAGTGCTTCATCTTCGCGCGTATGCACGATTCGCAATATGGATTGCGGTAGCGATGAGTACACAGATGTGCCAATGTCTTAGCTTCGGCTTTCAGTGTTCCGACTCTGGCCTTGCGGCTCGGCGCACCGTCGCCTTCCACATCAATGATCACCTCATCGTCACCATCCAATGGAATTTCACCCACTCCTTTTCCTTCGTCGTCGTCCGGAGGGCGTCCGGCCTCGGACTCTGGTACTTCTTCTATAGGAGGTTCTTGGGGTTCAGGATCAGGAGGTCGTTCGTGATCATCACCTTCTTCTTCTGCTTCAATCTCGCTCGGTGCAGCTTCAGCGGCAGCTGCGACGCTGACGTCAACATTGCCCGCTGTCAGCGCACCCTTGAAGATTTCGGTGATCGCTTTGGCCTCCGGATCATCATGAACCAATGACTTGGAACTCCCGGCACGAACGTACGGGATGTCACCGTTCACGAACAGAGATATTCTCTTGCCCTGCGGGTTGATCATGAATGGTTCCCTTCCGGGTGGCCACACAAACCCGTAGTTGAAGTTCATACATCTCTTGCCTATGGAAAGCACCGACGGTGTGTCATCCAACACATAAGCGTTGATCGGTTCCTCGAACGACTCAGTCTGGAAATTCGACACGAGATCGGTATCGGTGATTCCATTGGCTGTCTGAAATGATATGGGCTCTGGAGTCACGAGTGTTTCGAGACTGTGCTTCTCGATCTTCTTCTGAGATATGAGGTCATGACCACACCCAGTGTCCATGAGAAACTTGATCTTCTTCTTGAGGATGACTGGTTGAACCATGCATTTGAATAAGCCCTGATTGATGATCCGTTTGCTGTGTGCAGCATCGAGTTCGCGCTCAACGATGGAATCTTCACCGTCGTAGAACGAAACTTCTTCCACTCGAGACGTTCCTGGGATTCGTACGAATGAAACTCGATCTCCGCATTGATCATCATCGTCGTCAACCATGTCTCTCATGATCTGTGCCCTCAATCTCGCTTTGTGCTTGGCGAATTCCAAGCTCACGGCGCGATCCTCATCATTGATAAACGCTTCCATGTCGACGTACTTCACCTTCCGCTCTTTGTCTTTCTTCGATCGTCTAGGACACGAAGAAATGAACTTCACGTCGTTGGCAAATGTCACATTGCGCTTTATCACTTTTCGGGTTCGACGTAGTCGTTCCCGAGGATTCGTCATCTGTTGAACAATCCGAATCAGCGTCGCTGTCAACGGATGGACAATCTGACTCCTCCTCATCTTGTCTTGAAGATCGCTTCCATATAGCCGGAGCTGATGGATTCCACCTTCGACACAATCTGATGGCGGGTGCCGCAGGGAGTGCTTTGGCCTTGGCATTCGGCTTCGCTGGAGCTGCCTTCGCTTCGGATTTAGCTTTAGCTTTTGCCTTTGGTTCCGGAGCTGGGGTAGCTGCTGCCTCATGCTTGAAAGGACAATTCTCTCTTGAGCACGAGCCTGTGTTCTTGAACGAGTAGCATATCCTGTTTCCTCCTCCTCCAGATGGGCTTGGAGTTCTCGTCCTCGGCGTGAAGGGTCGCTCTGGAGTCTTCTTCGAGTGACTGAATGGACACTTATCGCCATTTCGACACCCTGCATCTGTGAAATGGAACTTGCAGCGGATTTGCTTCTTGCTTTTGTCACCTCTGTTGTCCGCTGACTCACTCCTCGTCTTCTTCTTGGGCTTTGGCTTGGTCTTCGCATGACTCTTCGCTTTGCTTTGAGGTAGTACAGGTGTTGCTTTATCCGGCTTGGTCGGCGAAGCCTTGACCTTTGCGGATGGAGCTGCGTTAGGCGTAGGTTTCTCGGGTACCTTGGCCGGTGCAGCAAGCAAATCCTTGCCCTCAAGCATCTGGCGCAAGCCAATTTGGGTCTGAGTGAGATTTGATTGTTCTCGTCTCCGCATGATAGTACGGTCAATGATCTTCATCAGGTTGTCGTACGATCGGTCTTCATGATTGTAGGGCAAGTGTTCGTAATGCATGCCCAACTCCATCTTCATTGCGGGCGAGTCCTTGATCTTGCTGTACAAGCAATCACGGAGAGCTGTTTTGGATGGAATGTCCTCTGGTCTCATCCGTCCCAGAACTTCCAACCACGTCTGCTTGAACGTATGAAGCTTGTTGTCGCCTTGGTACTGGAGCTTCACCAAATACTCAAGAGTGATGATCATGTCAAGACGATCATGCGTTCGAAAACTTTCATACATCATCGCAATGACTTGTCGTCCTTTGATGATCTTCACGTCAGGCCTGCTGATGTAATCGTTAGCCTTCCGGTTCACCTCGAGGTACAGGTCAGCTGATTTGTCACCACCGGCACGTAGCATTGCGACCATGGCGATCCCCAATTTGACGTCTATGCTCTTGAACTTCTTGTGTCCTGAATCATTCAATGCTTCGACATCAGGGAATGGGTTGAACGCTGGTGCCAGCCATAACATCCAGTCCTCATGATGTGGGTCGGCTGATGCCCCTAAGACATTGGCCGTGCACACGGATCGCCAGTTGTTGAGATGAGTGAGAGTAGGCCATGGAGGAACGGTCACTTTGTCGGCTTCCCTCCTGGAAATTCTCACCTCTGTGACTTCAGGATCCGCATCTCCATCAGGATCACGTGCATGCGAGCCAGGATCCGATTCAGGTTTGCCTCCACCGCTTTTCTTCTTATCATCATCATCGTCAGGCGGGTCAGGAGGATCATACCCCGTGCCGGTTCCTTCGTCGTGCTCTGCATCTTCGTTCTCGTCGCCACCCTCGTCACCGTCACCGTCTCCGTTATCCTCCTGAATCGTTTCAGCGAATAACCTCCATTCATCACGATCAGCTCTGAGACGTTGCTCGGCTTTCTGGGCCTTGAGTACTTCGCTTCGCAGATCGGCAATCTTCTCCTCGTACCGTTCCGCGACCTCTTTCTCGATCTGACGTCTTCTTGCTTCATGAATGGAATCGTCATAGGCAATAGGGGGACCGACGAGGTCGTTGCCCTTCGTAGATGCGGTAACACCGTCGATACCAACAGGTCTTGAGGAGCTGGCCGATGCTGTGGACTTCGATCCCAACATCCCGCGATCCCCCAAGAGTTCGCGTAGCTGTCGATCACGCACGGCTGCCGCATCACTTTTCCCATGAAATCCGCTTGGTATGCCGAACAAAGTGGCTGCACTAGGCGTGGAACGCGCAAGTGCTGGGCTGCTAATACCTGGCACGTAGTGCTCGGGCATTGCATCCGCCACGATTGGCATTGAACTGCGGCCAGTGAAGAAGTTTCCACCGGTGAATGGAATTCCATCCATCACAAGGTTCTTGTCCTTGTCCGATTCCGAGAATGCGAACTTCTCTTTGGCGACTGGACTAACTTGACTTGGGGACCGTATTTCAGGGGATCGTACCTCATCTCCTACGGAAAATGCAGGCATTACTTCCTTTCCTACGTGCTCCCAGCCAGACTCAGTAGTCCTCGAAGACATGGGCATGCTCGAAGGTCGCGTCGCTCCTCCTTGATTGGAGTTTCGCGCTGCCTCCAATTCGCTGCGTGTCCTCGCTTGAAGATCTTCTTGTGCTTTGAGCGTTTTCCTGAGTTCACTCAGCTCGTCGTGCAAGGTAGGCAATGATCGCCTTGCATGATCTTCATTATGATGAAGTCGATCCTCTGCTTCTTGCATCCTCTTCACAGCCATTTTGCGGTACTCTTCCTCTTCACCAAGACGTTCGCGAAGCCGAAATCGTTCTTGATCAATGGCTGCGCTGTTTCCAGCTAGCCCTTGGATCTCGTTCACGGCCCGCAACTCCTGGTTCTTGACCAAGTGGAATCGTTCCTGCATTGCTTGTAAGGCTTGTTCCGAACTTGCTGTGTTTGACCGGAGGACCAAGTTCTCTCTGGCGTGTTCATGAAGTTCATGAGTCAGACGCTCATACTCACGTGCCATAAGCTCACCATCGCCTTGCGCTCTTGCCTCCAACTGCACAAAGTTAGTGGCTGCCTCCGTGCGGAACACGTGTAGCTGTTGAGCTAACTCCTCGGCAACGGCATGTGCTTGACGTTGTTGAGCAGAGTTCTGTTCATCCATGCGAAACAAAGCTGTTTCATAGTCTCGCTTCATCTCCTGATTGACATTGTTGATGTGCCTCATGGCTAAGCATGCATGGTCACGTTGTCGTTCCAATTCTTCAATGCGAATTCCAGATCCTTCATCTTCTTGTTGCATCTCCTTGATCTTGTCCATCAGGGTCTGGACGATTCCTTCGTATTCTTGCACCTGACTGCGATAGTACATCTGCTGTGCAAGGTTCGATGCTTCGAACTGTTGCGAAATCGTCAGTTCCTGGTAGGCATTCGGACCATCAGCTATGGCAGGCGTAGCTACGGACGACGCATCACCACGTGCAGGAATCGTATCCAGAGTCATGTCCAGATCGTCAGCATCGCGTGGTTGATTGGTAACCATCCGATTCCAAGTCATGGACTTGTCACGCCCACGAGTAGCCGAAGTCCTCGATCGTGCTGAAGAGCTTCTCGAAGATGATGGTCTTGACTTCTTTTCCAAGGTCTTGACTCCTTTGTCCTTGGCCCTGGACGTAGTCCGAGGTGCCTGAAAACCAGACGCTTCGGCCCGTCGTTCTGAAGCCTTGCCCGTCCTCGAACCTGTGGATGTCGGACGCGAAGGCGTAGATGCTCTTGGTAGACTCTTTGCTTTCCCCTTGGGAACTGCCTTTGCAATGGCAAGCGCAGAAGATTGACCTTTGTCATCTTCCGTGGAGCTATCAACGGATTGCACCACTGTGTCGTCAGCTGTTGACTCACCAACGGCTGGCGCTGCCACATCGGCACCGAAAGTCATTGTCGTATCTTGGCTTGATCCTGAGTTCATTGTGGTCGTAGTAGATCAAGTAGTCGTTGCTGTAGAAAGGCAGAGCCGCGTACGGCTGATAACCTGCGTGGGGGATTGATCTCGACTTGGTTGCTGCTCTCCCCACCAGAGCTGTAATGAATGTAGGTGTGGCTGGCTAGCACTCTCCACAGACTGGACCCTGTCTCTCCCTCTTACTTCCACACGTGCGATCCTATGCAGGCAGAACCGGCGGCCGTTCCTTTTGCACTCACTGCCGGCGGCGGTTCGTCTGTGCAACGGGATAGCTCTGATTGCTCAGGATAGAAGACACATATAGCACTTAGCTATGGGCATTGACTTGAGCCAAACGTTGCGTTGGCGGTCACATAGAAAGGTAAAGATGAGGGATGCGTAGCATGCCCCCTAGAGTCGAGGGACGCGTAGCGTGCCCCCTTCTCTTGCACTTTACACGGTCTTGCTCACAGCTCTTATAGTGACACCTTAGAACTTGACAAGGCATCGCAGTCCGTTCGCAAATCCCTTTACAGGATCCCTTCATAATTAACGGACATCAGTCGGTCGTTTGCATGAAGCGCTCATTGGTGCACGTGAAACATGAATGGAAACAAACAAGAACCTAGAATTTGTCAAGAACGACGGTCAAGTCATTCACCAGCTCAGTGAGCGCAGTGCGCCAAGATGCAATGACAGAAGCATCACAAGCCACGACGCGCTTACAGCGTCTATGAATCTCACCAGGACAGTAAACCCAAGAGGGCGCACAACTGGGGGCCAAGCCTCCTTAGGCTCCGTCTCTGCCTCGCTGGCTTTGCCTTGGGCCTGCCATGGGAATCCCGTGACCGCCGTGACTTCTCGCAGTCTTGGGTTTAGGGTTTACGGTTTTTTTGGAGGGTTTAGGGGTTTAGGGTTTCGGCGCTCACACTCGGACAATCCTGTGGCTCGAGGTCACTGGAGTCAAACTGACCTAATGGTTTAGCGTTTAGGGGTTATAGGGGTTAGGGGGGTTGGGTTTACGGGTTGACGGGATATCAATTAAAAAGTTCTTAATTTCACAGGCCGGGAACAAACAAAATACAATAATTAAGGTCATATTATGTCATAGTAACAAGTATAACCATACGCCTACTAAACTGGCAAGGCCAATCCAGCACGCGGACGCCCAACATGCGCAAGACCCTTCCTACGACAACATGAACCGTATTAAGGACCCTGCATGAGGGCTCGATTCAAGGGTCCTTGAGGATGCGGGTAAGCTCCAAATCCGAAACCTAAACTCTTTTAAGCCCTTCCTTAACCCTGAAGAACCTAAGGTTTTTAAGGACTTATATAAGGAAATCATAATAGGGAACCCTAAAGAGGTAGGCTCTTCAGGGTTGAGGTTGGTACATCTAAACCTAAACCCCAAACACTTTGAAACCCTAAACCGTTCTTAGGCGCTCACTCCCTATTAACACCCTAAGCCCTTTCAAACGCTATACCCTTTTAAAAGCCCTGAAACCCCAAAGCCCTTTAAACCCTAAAACCTCAACCTTTTAAACGCTAAACCCTTTCAAAACTCCCTGAACCCTAAACCCTTTTTGGACCCTAAGCCCTAAGCCGTTCTAAATCCTAAACCCTAAACCGTTTTGAACCCTAAACCCTCAACCGTTTTAAACTCCCCATACCCCTTATAATTAGTACTCTTATAGTAGCCCTTAAACGAGGCCTTTAAAGGAAACCTAAACCCCGCTGCTCCAGGGCCTCCCCCGGCTGTGTCTGCTGCGTCTCGGTCTCGGCTGCTTGTGCTTCGGCCTGCGCTGCGGCGCGGACTTGGGGCGCGGACGGTTTCGGGTTTAGGGTTTGGGTCTAGGGTTTAGGGCCCCAAGTGCCCTTAACTAGAGCCCTGATATTTGGGAGTTTCCGAAAATGGGGAGCACCTTATCTGGGGGTCCTCATAAGAAGGATCTTACTGTTTCTGGTACTATATCAGGGTCCCCTATTTTCGGAAACTCCCATATAGTCTATAGCGGGTGTTTAGGGTACAATAAAGGGTAATTGGTTGGAGGCCTAGGTAGGGTTTGGGTTTTTGGGCGTTCGGGTTTGGGTTGCAAAGCCTTTTTTGCCGTCTGCATTGCTGAAAAAATCACTAGGCAGCAACATCGAAAGTGCTTGCCAATTCGCATGCCGCGTCGCTTCCACGACTCCATACACCGATCATTAAACACATGTTGATTGTTTTTGAGGCTTTAGGGCTTGTAGGCTTTAGGGTTCATAGGGTGTTGGATCTAGTCTCGTGTTGGCGTGAGCGTACAGGTGAAGTCGCAGACGCCCCGTGACATGAAACGGTTTTGACTGGGTACGGCCCCCATGCAGTGACAGTCTATAATAGGGCTACTATTAAGGGCCTTATATATCCATATTATGAATATTATCCAACTGTTTGTGAGTGGGGGCCGTACCCAAGGTTTCGACATGCGTCGACCCTCGCACTCGGCACTGCCAGGCACGTGGTCCACACTCGTCCTCGAAATTACTGTACACAGAGCCCAGGTCAAGAATGACATAGCCCCGTAACATAGGGGCCTTAGTAATTACCTATACTATTTTAGGGAATCCTTATTATAACTATAGTATAATGGGCCCCCAAACCCTATTCTAATTATCAAGCCCCATACATAAGCACTTCCAAACATGTTTGGCACTGGGCCCAGTATGGCATCGGAATAACTAGTCAAGGTATCCTCTTACAGTCCCGATCTACACATATACTACAATTACTACCAGAAGCACCACAACCCCGTTCTAATCACTCGGTACACCATGGAACTACCAAAGGCTTCACACCGGCGCGCGCACGCACACACACACACACACATGTCACCCACAACCGCCCGCACCCGCACCCAGACCCGCACGCACACACAGACACACAGACGCCCACCCACACCAACACGCTCTGGAGAATCAGCTCGCAGATCGCAGAGCGTAGCCGAACCCGAAATACCGAACCACACCCTGAGTTCTTAATAGCATGCGAAGGATCGTAATATCAATGCCATCTAAGGAAGTTACAAACGTTGAAGAATCAGAAAAACCCGAAACACAGTATCCTCGCCCTGGTTAAAAAAGAGAAAACTCAACTACAAGAACAGGAGCTTCTAAATACTATACATGAGTCGCCCGAAATCCCCGATGACCGAAACTCTGCACGCGGCGTGGTCCTTGTTTCAGGAACTGGTGCCACGGATCTTCAAGATCTCAAATTGAACGAAACAAAACGGAGCTCGCTCAAAAGGGGGGCGAGAGTCCCACTCTGTAAAACTCTCTTATACTGCTTCAGGAGGTTTTCGGATTCAGTGCTTTGGAAAAGTAGCTACGCCGCAACATCAGGCCAAAACTAAATGGGCCTGAGTTGCAGTGCCTTGCCGGGCCTTGGGCAGCTCCGTTTCAACTTGTTAATAGTTCGGCGTGCCAAAGCAGATGAACGACCTGTCACTGTCGGTAAGAATAACTGCGGAAGGCACCGGATCGTTTGGAAAGGAGGTTGAAGTTCTCGCCTAGGGCTACAGAGGGATTCAGGAATCCCAGCACCCCCCAAGTACCCGTTAAAGGGCTCTAATCTTTCTCATTCAGAGGTCATCAGGGACTACAATAAAGGGTAGTTGGGGGGTCTAGGTCCGTCACATGGCACTGGTATCGTTTCAGATTTCCAGTGTGTGATCAGATCAACACAGAGCTCTGCGCACACAAGGTATCAATTCCCACCTCTGGCAGTTTGCTGTAGCGACCAGGTATCGCACAATATGATCATTTCCAAATATCCATCTTAGACACTCAGAGACCCACCGGAAACGCCAAGTGGAACTGTGTAGTAACACCCACAGCTGCAACTGGGTACGACCTTGTCATCCAACCCTAGATCTGTAAACTCGCTTGCTCTACTGGTACATGTAATGCGGATGGACGCCTTCCACCGGTCTCACGACAACGGAAGACATGGTGCCCAGCAACCTCTGTCGATTCACCCACTTTAGAGCTTCTCGTAGGGGAATCTAAGGTTTAGGGTTTATCACTTACTTCGCAAGAAGAACGCAAAATGGCATGATACCAGAATATATCAGAGAAAGGCAGCTGGATACCATCTATGGCATGAGACGGCGGTTAAGGTCGCTCAAGAAACCACGTCGCACAAAAGCAAAAAACGGCCTCCTGCAACAGTCGAAAAATGGTTTCTGTACTTCAATTCTCCGCCAGAAAGATTGTCGCAGCGCTGCTTACATCCTGCTGGAGGGGTCATGGTCTCACATATACTACTAAATATATAATCCTAAAACTCTAAATATAATCTAGACCCTTATAGCCTTGGCGGCCTTTAGCTGACCGGAAGGCTGCGACCATCGTGGCAGACGCCGTGTGTACGAACACAAGGCTGATGAAACTTGACGCCGACCTACTTGGGGTTAATTAGGGTTAAGGTTCTAGCCTGTCTTCAAAACTGTCAAGGTAACCACTTCCGGATAATATTATATATATATATATCGGGATTGCACTACAGCGAAAGGTTTAAGGTTACACACCTGACTAGCAGTAGGCCAGCTGCGTCGGAAAATCGTGGCCCTCAAAGCGCTGGTATGGCACCGTATTCAGAATTTGGTGACCCACTTAAAATCGGAATGTCCTAAACTCTCAACCCTGAACTACGGAAATCCTGCATCTCAGAAACCGCGCCACCCGGCTTTTGATGGGCTGCTGCTGGAAGATGCCCCTTGAAGAATTTTGTTTTTTTTGACACTCACTCTCGGACAAGCCTGGCGAGGTCTGAGGAAGTAGGTTCGGATATGCTGTCGAACTGACTGACCAGCGTTATTCTGCAGGCTTTATGTGGTTTACGGATTTCTATGTACACCCTCTGAGCACTTAGAACCTTGCACCTTTCCGTCAACTATTGCTCTTTGCTGCGGGCTGTCTGTCAGCTCTACGCTGCAGGAGACGTGTGCGGAGCCGTTGCTTCAGGAGCAAGTATTTATTTTGTCTATTTTTCTGTTTTTTTTGTATATTTTCCTGGTTTTAGTTCTGTTTTCCTTGGTTTTCGGAATCTAGCCTGGTGGCCGTGACCGTTCGCCACCTCTGACTGGAGTTCTTTTTTGTGTATTTTTCTGGGTTTTGTTTGTACATTTTACTGGTTTTAGTTATGCTTTCCTTGGTTTTCGGAATCTAGCCTAGTGGCCGTGACCGTTCTCCACCTCTGACTGGAATTCTTCCTTGCGTATGTCTTCGGGATGTTTGTAGATTTTTCGGTTTCAAAGCTTCCCAAACTTCTTCGCTCGTCTCGCGGCAGCTGCTGGACTGTCCGAAGCTCCTGCCACAATGCTGCCGTGTCTCTCACACTTCTTTTTTGCCCCGCGCGCTTATAGCATCCGCGAAGCTTCTGGATTGAAACTCTAAGACTCTGCGGTTGCGGTCTGGGTGGAGAGGCGCCTGGGACTGTAGAAATAGATTGTATGGCCCATGTCTGCTGAACCTTAATCCGCACTGATTCCTGCACCTTTGCCCTAATGCTGAGAGATCAACGACCTGGAGGATGTTTTTTGTGTTTTGTTTTTTTGAGAGGGGGGGTGGTATTTTTTGTTGGTCAAATGCGTATGTGCTGTCAAGCAAGCATGCCACTCTCGCACGTTCGGCGCATGCTTCCCAATTGCAAGCACACTTTTCACAAGGTGAAGGGTGTTGTTTCTAATTAAAAGATTCATCCTAGGATATGCTAGGCATCGCGGGTTTCCAAAACGACTCCTATGCTGTCATGCAATCACGGCTTATAGCAGCGGGGGGGTTGGGGGGGGGGCGCAACCCCTTCCAGTTGCAATCACGATCCTCGTATGGCTGGTTCACCACAAATCACATGCGGCCGGGGGGGTTTAAGGGCGGCAATCATGATGCTCGCACGGTTGGTTTTAAACAAAAATATATGCTGTCAAGCAAAGCTGCGGTCACGCAAGCTTGCACATGGTTTAAAGCAGTGGGGGGTTGGGGGGGCGCAGCCCCCCCGATTTGCTAGCATGATGCTCGCGTGGTGGGTTAAAACATGCGTATGTGCTGTCACGACTCCTATGCTGTCATGCAACCTGGCACACGGCTTACACAGCGGGGGGGTTGGGGGGGGCGCAGCCCCCCCCATTTGCAATCACGATGCTCGCATGTCTGGTTTACAACAAAATCTATGCGGCGGGGCGGTTTAAGGGGGGCAGCTCATGAGGATGCTCGCATGGCGGGGTTTTCAACAAAACACATATATGCTGTCAAGCAAGCTCGGCACTCACGCCCGTGGCAGGCTTTCCATTTGCAAAGACACTCTTTGCATGGTAATGGCATTGTTTCAAAAAGCCTTATATTTTATGCAGGGTGGGTTTCAAAAACGACGTCTATGCTGTCAAGCAAGCTTGCACACAGCTCAAAACAGCGGGGTCTCTGGTCTTTGCTTCTTGCTGTCTAATTATCCTGCTTTCGTTCTTGGGTTCTTTCTTTGCTCCGTTCTTTACACTCCTTCTGGTCGTCCTTGCTGGCTTTCTGTCTTTCGATATTAATTTCTTCTGTTCTGTCTCTCTGTCTTTCCTGCGTTCTTATTTCCTTGCTTCTGTCTGTCCTTCTGTCCTTCCTTCCTTTCTTTCTTTCTCCCCATTCTGGTGTGTTGCTTTCTTGCTTTCTTCCTTTGTTCCCGTCTTCGTTCTTTCTTTCTTTCTGTCGTCCTTCGTTCCTTCCTTCCTGTCTTTCTGTCCTTCGTCCTTTCTTTCTTTCTCCTCTTCCTGGTGTCTTCCTTTCTTGCTTTCTTTGTTTGTTTCTTTGCTCCTTTCTTTCTTTCCGGCTTCCGTTTCTCTCCTTCCTTCTTTCGTTTGCGTTCAACCTAAAACTAGAAAAATATACAAAAAAAACAAAAAATGACAAAAAACATACGGTACCCTTGCTTCAGAGTTTGGGGGGTTTAGGGTTTTGGGGTCCCGGAGGATCTGGCCAGCACATCTCAACAAGCAACATTGCACGAGAATACACGTATTGCGCCGTGCAAGTTTGAGGATAATAGGATGCTTAGCTGAGGTCTGGGAGGGTGGGGCATTGGAGTGCAGAACCACAGACGCAATAAGTGCTTCATGGAAGGAGATACAGCTCTTGACTTGCAACCTTCCATGAGGCACCATCTCCAACCGCAGGTATGGCCGCGAAGTGCCGGGCCAAAGAAAGCGAGCCATCAGGGTAGGACGAGTCCCCTCTGGCTCAAGAGCTTAAAATAGGGGCCTTCATAATTAGAATCGGCTTTGGGGGAATATTATACTATAAGTAAAACAACCCCAAAAGTGTGTTGGTAGTTACTTAGGCTCCTACATTAATTCGAGGTTCCGCTTGGCCTGCAGATCGTCGGCGAGCTTCTCGATGCAGGTCACCATAAGCTCACGAAACTCGTCACGATTTGCCTTTGAGACCTTAGTTGCTGAGATCCCTGGCTCACAGAAAACTAACCTTTTGATCATGGTAGGGCATGGTAAACTGATGGGAGGCCGAAAAGGGGAGTTAAGGTTCTTGGGGTAGGGATTCCTTAACATGAACCCTATTATGGGAACCCTAACCCCTACTAAACCCCACAGGCTAACAACCCCCTTTTAAAGGCCTCCCATGATAAACCTCAAAAGGTAGGAGTAGCGGTTACTCGGCTTCTAAGAGGCAGTGAGAAGTGCGAGCTGGCGGAAGGGCATGCGGACTAGCACCCGCTCGAAACGTCGCTGTATGGGATCGAAGGCGGCCTTCTCCTTACCGTTGGTTAGTAGGGAATGGAGGAATGGGGTACAATTATAATTACTATTACCACCATTCTTCCATTCCCTACTAACCGGCGATAAGTCTCAAGGGCATCATGCTCCATGGCCTCCGTCGCCACCAAGTCCAGGATGTCCTTTGCGAGCTGTAGGAAGCCATTCGAAGCCGCCTTCTTCTTCAGGGTCTTCTCAAGCAGCAGCAGCGCTTCGCGCTTGCCCATCAAGTTGAACTTGGTGCGAAACTGCTTTTCGAGCGTTTGAGGGCTATCTGCATGCGGCATGTGGCAGAAGTTGCATTGCGCTCCCGCAGTGCACTTGCCCGACACAAAGTAGATGCATGCGCGCTTGCAAAGGTCTGGGTGCCCCCTGCTTCCACAACTTGAGGCTGCAACAGAGACGGCAGGATGGTCTCCGGCCTTCTCAACGACGGCCTCTTCCTCGTCATGCGGAGCTGTCCCTGTCATCCCTGTCCCAACGTCATCAAGGCGGTGCATGCTAGATGTACCCAGCGACTGCACATAGCCTCGTAGACTTTCCTCTTCGATGATTGCATCGGAAGCAGTCTGGAGAGGTGTCATAGGGGGTGGCTGGCTCACGCTTCGACGAATGCTGCCAGGTTTCACCATCATGGGTACCTCGTCAATGAAGGTGCGGCTGTACACAAAGGTTACCTCATCTCCTTCACGATCGAAGACAGCCATGGCCAGCTTGGGTTTTCGGTGTCCCAAAGCGTGTCAAGCTGGAAATTTATACAAATCTTGAGCCAACATGAATACGGCCACCAACTCAGGGATTGTATGAGTCGCGCACCCCGCACGTGCAGCCAGAAAGCCAAATCCACTATCATAGTTTCTATTAGCTTCATACTATCAGTTTCTTGTTATCATGCTCTTACTACACCGTTGCGCACCATTACTATACTAACTGGCATAATTGTAGTATCATACCAATATCAGACTAGCTTACGTAGATTTCTCTACAGTATTATACTACCGTATCATGGTGTATAGTGTTACACGTTAGTGCTATACCTGTAGTACTGTACTACAGTATACCTTTACTATACTGTTGGTAGGCAATTTCGCACCCCTGCCTCTAATGTCTGGGTCCCCGGTGCTTCAGAAGCTTTTGTGTCGGCCTGGTCGGCAGCACAAGGCTTTAGGGTTGAGGGGTTTAGGGTTGAAGGCTTGGGTGTTTAGGGTTGAAGGGTTTAGGGTTGAGGGGTTTAGGGTTCAAGGTTGAAGGGATCAGGGTCCAACTTTGAGAGGTTTAGGGTTGAGGGGTGGTGGGCTGAGGGTTTTTTAGGAGTGTTTAGGGTTGCAGGTTCAGCTTTTGGATCATGGCATCGGAGTATTTGGGGGTTTCGGAAAAAAGGGGGCCCTAATAATATAGTACCCTAAATAGTAGGATCCTTATTATAAGGACTCCAAATTAAGGTATCCCGAATTGTCGGAAACTCCCATTTTATAAGGATTAGCAAGTGCAGGGTGTTGTCGCGGTTTAACCAGGTCGACATTCGTGCTTGCAGGAGGTTACCGGGTCAAGTCGCAGAACCCCGGTTGCAACAGGAAGGTTTCGACATGTTTCGGCTCTCCTCGAAAGGATTTAGGACCCTCGGCTCTTTTAAAACTGGGCAAAGCCTGCATCAGATCAGGCTCACTATTTCAGTGTATCAGTACAGCCCTTTCCCTGCTACCCAGACCCAGACCCAATCTCAGAGATCGTGTCATCACTTTGCACCAGCACCAGCAGAAGAAAGACAAGAACAGAGAACACACGCGAACTACTTTCAGGCATGCTTTTCAGGCATCAGCTGGAAGTCTGCTGCAAACCATTTAAAACCTTTGCGGTGTCCATCTCCGGCTTCGACACCCAAAACCATAATCAGAGGCTCGCTGCGAGGAGCTCGTTTAAAAAAGGCCGGAGAGTGGGAAGAGGCCGCTCTTTTTGGGCCTTCCAGTCTCAGGGGCACAGAAGTATAGAAATGAATATGTAGAGGCCGAGCGACCGTAGTTTTCAGACTACCGGAGGTTCGGAGCTCTTACTGCACTCAAGTTTAGGTTAGTTCAAGGTTCGGGTTTGAGAGGCTCAGCCCAAAATCGTAGACAGGGTCGCTGGTTCGCCAAGGCAGCCTAGGCCCCATGCCAAAGTTAGATGGGCGGTACTTGGAGGTTATGGGCAGTTCTAAGTGGTGTCATAAGTCCCCTAAAATGGGTTAATAAGTATAATTATATAGGTATAGTCACCCTACTTAGAACCCTACTTATAACTCCCCATGGAACCTCCAATTAAGCCCTAAACCCTAAACCCTAAACCCTTTTTTTTTGAACCCAGGCTCTGTGTTAAAACCCTAAACCCTAAACCCTAAACCGCTAGATGGGCGGTAGTTCCTGTCACGGGACCTGACCAGCACGGCCTAGCCGGGCCAACGGGCAGCTCAAGGCCAGGTCTGAGAGTCCCAAAGACTTTAGGAAATAGGGTTTAGGGTTTAGGGTTTAGGGTTTAGGACAAACTCCAATATCCCTCCTTTTTGGGATTACCGTATGGAATTCTAAGTATGAACCCCAAAAAGGAACTACTATGGGGCCTATGGGTAAGGAGTGCCGGGCTTTGGGGATCACCCAGAGACTCCAATATCCCTTAATTAGGGAATATTCCTTAAATCATATTAGGGATCCTACTATAATTTAAGGTATATTCCTTAATTCAGGGATTTTGGAGTCTCTGGGGTAGGCAAGTACTCCGCAAGTGTAAAATAGGGTTGATAATTAGCATAGGGTTCCTTGGAAGGGTTCCTTTTAAAGGATTTCTACGGGTTGCTGCAAGGGCTACTATAAGGCTATAAGGGTTTTAGTATAGGGGCCTTCATCATAATTAGAATAGGGTTTTGGGGCCCATTATCCTACAATTATGATAAGGCACCCCCCAAAATAGTATTGGTAATTGTTTAGCCCCCATATACTACTCCAGCAAGTGTAATAGCAAATCTATACCTACATGGACATTGGCCCGCGGAAGAAGAGCTGCAGAAGGCAACGGGCTCGTGCACGGTTGAAAAAGGTGATTTTTCTCCAAAGAGCAATCAAGCCGAGCAGACAGGAACCCGGGGATTCAACCACCGAGTTGCGCAGTGCTGCTCAACGTCGACCTCACTAGGAAATTCTCGCTTAAACCTAGAGATGGATTCGGAATCTCGTCGCACGGCACGTGGCTTCGAATTGTAATTAGGGTAAAATTGCTGGCAAAAGGGCAAGCAATTCCTGAACCACCTCCGGCCATTGCAGAAGTACCCGCACGGGATGGATACGTTCAAACGCCCATCATAGACACTCAGAGAGGCTCCACCGGAAATACCAGCGGCGCGGATGGACTCCCCGGTGATATTTGCTTTTTGCCCTGCGTTGGTCTCAGGGAATATCAGAAGATATGGTATCCAGCGTCGCTTCAACGTCTTGACCTGAACCCTACACCCGATCGTGGACGTGTGGCTCTTCACCAGACGACCATTCAATGGCATGATACACGATGAGGGCAGCCGGACACCATCTGTGTGAGACGGCGGTTCAGGTCGCACAAGAACACACGTCTCATTAAAACACGACATTGTCCGAAAACACTGCCTTTGCGCCTCGGGTTTACCACCCAAGGGATTGTCACAGATTTTTGCTTCTCAGAATCCCCTACGTACATCAGTGTGAACCAGTGCTCAGTGTGAACCAGTGCTCGCATTACTGAGGGCTTAGAAGCATTGGCGCCCTTCATAGCTGACCGGAAAGCTGTGACCATCGTGGCAGACTCCCCCGCGTACGTGCACAAGGCTTACAAAACATGACGCCGACCTACTTGTCTAGCCCTGCCTTCGAAAGCTGTAAAGTAAAGGTAAACCTTTCTGAATTGTATCAGAATCGTACAATCTGAAAGGTTCAAGGTTACCTACTCGACTAGCAGTAAGCTAGCTGCGTCGCGATGGGGTGGCCCTCAATCAGCCGGTGTGGCACATCACTTAGAAGTTGGTGGCCAACCGATTAGTCGGAAAGCCCTAAACCCTCAACGCCCTCAACCATGAACCACAGCGACTCTGCATCTCAGAAACCGTGCCACTCGGCTCTTGAAGGAAGTGGAAATCTATGCAGGTCGTTCTGAACAGCCCTACACAATGACTCTACGGAACTTAGGGAAAGATTCTAGTTTAGCTGTGTGAGCCCCTCCGCAGGGCCTGATCTCACAATTCTAGCATATAGTCGCTATGTGCTGAAGGCTGTTCGTCAGCTGCACTCTGCAGAACACTTTTGCGCAGCTCCTGCCATTTCTGCAAAGGAGCATCTGGCCAGTACGTCCAGCCACGTTGCAGGAGAATGCAGGTATTGCACCGTTCAATTTGGGGGGCTATGCTTGGCTTTAAGTTGCGGGGCCGCAGCGTTCAGGATCACACGCTCGGCGGCGCAATAACTGCCTTCATGGAAGGCTAGCACAGCTCTTGACTTGCAGCCTTCATCAGCCACCGTCTCCAACGGTGGCCTCCTGCAGCTGTGGCCGGGAAGGGCTGGGCCAAAGACAGCTCACTTTGCAGCGGCAGAAGCCACGTCGTCCTGTGCAACGCTGATGCAAGTCATCTGCCAAACGAGGTCTCCTAGAGGCCTCAAACCTTCAACTCGATGTTCCGCATTGCCTCAAGATCATCGGTGAGCTTCTCGATGCATGCCACCATACGTTCACCGAACTCGCTTCGATTTGCCTTCGAGACAGAGAGAAGGGCGAGCTGGTGGAAGGGCATGCGGACGAGCACCCGCTCGAGACGTCGCTGTGCGGATTCCGAAGTGGCCTCCTCCAGGGCATCATGCTGCATGGCCTCGGTCGCCACCAACTCCAGGATGTCCTTCGCGAGCTGTAGGAAGCCATTCGTTGCCGCGTTCATCGTCAGAATCCGTTCGAGCAGCAAAAGTGCTTCGTGCTTGCCCATCGCATTGAACTTCCCGCGCTGCTGCTTGTCAAGCTTGGGAGGACGATCAGCATGTGGCATGTGGCAGTAGTTGCACTGCGCTCCCACGGTGCACTTGCCCGACACAAAGTAGATGCATGCGCGCTTGCACAGGTCTGGGTGCCCTCTGCTCCCACAACTTGAGGCTGCAACAGAGACAGCCAGATGGTCTCCGGCCTTCTCAACGACGGCCTGTTCCTCGTCATGCGGACCTGTCCCTGTCATCCCTGTCCCAACATCAGACAGGCGGTGCATGCCAGAGGTACCCAGCGACTGCACGTAGCCCCGGAGAGTTTCTTCTTCGATCATTGCATCGGAGGCGGTTTCGAGACGTGTCACAGGAGGTGGCTGGCTCACGCTTCGACGATAAGTGCCAGAATTCGCCACCACCGGTGCCTCGTCGATGAAGGTGCGGCTGTACACAAGGGTCACATCCGCGCCGATGCGATCGACAACAGCCATTGCCAACTTGGGCTTTCGGTGTCCCACAGCACGTTAAGCTGGAGATCCAAAAAAAGCTTGAGCCAGAGGGAAGCTGGAAGCTGGCCCCATAGGGGTTCACGACATTGCACTTGTTTACATGAATTCCTCACACCTCTCGCTGAAGAAACCTTTTGCAGGAACCGTCTAGGGCCTATAGGGCGGGCAGGTTCCACACAGAAAGATAAATCTGCATGTGCCTCGGCTGACGTCTGAATCTCCGGTGCTTCGGGTGCTCTGCCATCTGCCTGTCGCGGGGCCGCACAAGGCTCTCTCGGATGCTGTTCAGTTCAGCTTTTTGGTTCTAGGCTTTAAGGCTTCAAGGCTTCAAGGAATGTCAGGTTTAGCAATCATGTGAATTGTTCGGGCTCAAGCCGGGTCGAGATTAGTGTTTACGAGAACTTACCGGCTAAGTCGAAGAATGCATTGCAAAAAACTTTCGCTTGTAAGTTAGATGGGGCCCCGGCCCACTAATAGTTCAAAAATGAGGTTGGTATCAAGAAGACAGGCCAAAAGTAGCACAAGGAAGTCTGATAGTCCCAGGTCCCTGAAGTGCTTTGAGTTGTGATTGGGGTGGTGCATGGGGCTCTGAGACTGGGTCGGAGGAGGCGGGCTTTGGCCCCGGATTTTGCATGTGGACCGAAGTGAGACCCGGGGCGTGGCTCAGTTGTGAACTTACCAGCCAAGAGGTGTGGGACCACGATTACGTTACTCGCAGGCTTGTAGCTTTGAGCAACTTACCAGTGAAGAGATGTTGATGGGCCCGGCCCTCAGACAGACAGATCTCACAGATCAGAATTAGCACCAGAGACGCACGAAAAACCCACACACTTGACACATCGTGTCGCAGGTCTGATCTGTCGGTGCATACTGTCAGGGAAAGTCAGCAGCTGTCAGGGAAAGTCAGAAGCTGCAAGGGAAAGTCAGAACATGCAATCAGAAGCATTACCATAGGATACACGCGAATCACTCATGTAACTGCACATGAAACTGCACATGAAACTGCACTGCACTCCTACCCGCAATCAACAGTTGTGTAGTCGCAAGCTGCACAAATGTGCCCATGCCGACCACTGCAGGTACGTTTACCTGTCTCAATATCACGGAACTTCATTGGCAGAGGCCGTGAAATGAGACCCTCTGCCCCCTGCTGCTTAACTCACTCACGTCTCTTGGAAACAGAGTTGGACACACACAAGCCCCGAGGGGCTCCGTGCAATGTTGATGGTCGTTGCGCGCTGTTTTTCTCACCGATTTATCATCGAAACGTCTTGTCCTTGGGAGAACTAGGAGAGTGGGCTACGAAACTTCAGAAAACGCAGTCTGTACACTAGGTGCAATTCGACTTCGGCTTCCTCTGCATCAGAATCGAAGTACATGCAACACTGAGTTGCAGTTTGGTACGCAGCATTGGCCACTGACACGATACTCACTCGCAAACGCTCCTGTGCTAGGTCTACCACAGCACGCATCCACCTCTTGGAAGGGCTGCCCAACATGGTGCAGGCCACGGCATTGATTTGAACAAAACGGATGGTGGTATGCAAAGACTGAAAACCCATGGTCAACTCAACCGAGGAGGACAGCCGAAATTCTTGTATCCCACGTTGCAAGAACGTGTAGGCCACCAAGGTGTCGGTTAAGGGTTGCGCCTCTTCTGGGTCGTCATTTCGATCAAGGCGAGTAATGAATGTGATTCTGGCTCTGATCGGCAACAAGTACGTCAAGATGTTCTCGAGCACGTCAGAAGCGGCCCAATCCATGTTGTTCGGAATCTACAAAACTTCCAGACTGCTTGAAACAAAACTCTATTCCATGTCTGATGAAAGCAACTCCCAAAGGCGCAGCACTTGCACATCCCTGACATGTCTCTCCGCACATTTCCTGCTCAGCACTTGCACATACCTCGACCGTCCCTTGCACATCACTTGCAATCCGCTTACTCTTCCCTTGCTAACCACTTCGGTTGACACAAAGCATTGGTGGACTCTTTTCAAACCGTCAACGCTCTCTCACTTTCGGTCTAAGACGTACTGCACAAGTTTCAAAGTAGAGGAAAAACGCTTCCTAGGACCATGCTTTTCTTTAGCAATGCGCTCCCCGTGTTGTCTCAGGAAATCGAGAATGAACTGGGCTCTGTTGTGGATGAAGAAGTCGTCACCAAGCACTCTCGTGCCTTCCATTCTGCGACGAAATTGGGCTCTAGGTGCAGGACGAATCTTGATACGCGCACCATCACAGCCTTCATCAATCATACGAAGCTTGCGTTTCCGCGGCGGGACAATCTTCGACATGTTGGTGTGTTCTGCAGCGGAACGGTTCGACTTTGGAAACTGAACTGATCGACCAGGGGACATTGACGGAGACTGTCGGCCAAGGAACGATGACACATTTGAGCTCTCATGATCAAAGGCGAAATCAGCGGAATCCGGATCACTGACCGCGGTAACACCTGATACCAAAGCTGCACGTCGATCATGTTCTTGGTCCGACACTGCAAAGTCTGACGAGAAGTCGGACGAGTGCACGTCCGATACAGAGACAGCATCGCTCTCAAAGCTGGACACCGACATAATTTGAAGCTACCTGTACGTTACAAGTCTTTTTAGACCTGGAGAGTGCCTTGAGGACATGAATCAAAACAGTGTCTGCAAATATTCACAACACATGCTGCCAGCAGATCACTTGCATAACCCTTGCACATCCCTTGCACATGACTTGCGCGTTCCTTGCACATCCCTTGCAATACACTTGCAGCAGCACTGGCAAACAGACTCTTCTTTGCAACTGCAGAAAGTCTACGAAACTGCAGAGTCTATGCGTTCCAACATAGACGAACCACACTCATGTCAGAGAGTCTACGCATTCCAACATAAGCAAACCGCACTCATGTCGCAAATCTGCAGAGTCTACGCATTCCAACATCGGCGAACCGCACTCACGTCACGAAACTGCAGAATCTACGCATTCCAACATCGGCGAACCGCACTCATGTCACGAAACTGCAGAATCTACGCATTCCAACATAGGCGAACCACACTCATGTCAGAGACTCTACGCCCTACGCATTCCAACATAGGCAAACCACACTCATGTCACCAGTCTGCAGAGACTACGCATTCCAACATCGGCGAACCGCACTCATGTCACGAAAATGCAGAGTCTACGCATTCCGACATCGGCAAACCGCACTCATGTCACGAAACTGCAGAATCTACGCATTCCAACATCGGCGAACCGCACTCATGTCACGAAACTGCAGAGTCTACGCATTCCAACATAGGCGAACTACACTCATGTCAGAGAGTCTACGCCCTACGCATTCCAACATAGGCAAACCACACTCATGTCACCAGTCTGCAGAGACTACGCATTCCAACATCGGCGAACCGCACTCATGTCACGAAACTGCAGAATCTACGCATTCCAACATCGGCGAACCGCACTCATGTCACGAAACTGCAGAATCTACGCATTCCAACATAGGCGAACCACACTCATGTCAGAGAGTCTACGCCCTACGCATTCCAACATGGGCAAACCACACTCATGTCACCAGTCTGCAGAGACTACGCATTCCAACATCGGCGAACCGCACTCATGTCACGAAACTGCAGAGTCTACGCATTCCAACATCGGCAAACCGCACTCATGTGTCACGAAACTGCAGAGTCTACGCATTCCAACATAGGCGAACCGCACTGATGACACGAAACTGAAGTCTACGCATTCCAACATTGGCGAGCCGCACTCATGTCACGAAACTGCAGAGTCTGAGACGCTTGTAGAGCCAATATACAGCATCGTGCTGGGCTTTCTTATTGTTCAAGACCGAGGATGCCAAGCAATTGGGCATCCACCATCACTCTACAGAAAGTCCATGCACAGGAGACTGCAATCAATGACCTCGTCTGCCATTACAAAACGAGTATGCGCTCACACTTGCTGCACGGCAAACCTGCACTGCTGGACTCTCCGTTATGTCATTCAATCGGATAGAGCTGCATGGCAGGAATACTCTCAGCAATCATTTCCAGCAGCGTCTCAAAGCAGAAAGTCTACGAAACTGCAGAGTCTATGCGTTCCAACATAGGCGAACCACACTCATGTCAGAGAGTCTACGCATTCCAACATAAGCAAACCGCACTCATGTCGCAAATCTGCAGAGTCTACGCATTCCAACATAGGCGAACCGCACTGATGACACGAAACCGAAGTCTACGCATTCCAACATTGGCGAGCCGCACTCATGTCACGAAACTGCAGAGTCTGAGACGCTTGTAGAGCCAATATACAGCATCGTGCTGGGCTTTCTTATTGTTCAAAACCGAGGATGCAAAGTAATTGGGCATCCACCATCACTCTACAGAAAGTCCATGCACAGGAGACTGCAATCAATGACCTCGTCTGCCATTACAAAACGAGTATGCGCTCACACTTGCTGCACGGCAAACCTGCACTGCTGGACTCTCCGTTATGTCATTCAATCGGATAGGGCTGCATGGCAGGAATACTCTCAGCAATCATTTCCAGCAGCGTCTCAAAGCAGAAAGTCTACGAAACTGCAGAGTCTATGCGTTCCAACATAGGCGAACCACACTCATGTCAGAGAGTCTACGCATTCCAACATAAGCAAACCGCACTCATGACGCAAATCTGCAGAGGCTACGCATTCCAACATCGGCGAACCGCACTCATGTCACGAAACTGCAGAATCTACGCATTCCAACATCGGCGAACTGCACTCATGTCACGAAACTGCAGAGTCTACGCATTCCAACATCGGCGAACCGCACTCATGTGTCACGAAACTGCAGAGTCTACGCATTCCAACATAGGCGAACTGCACCGATGACACGAAACTGAAGTCTACGCATTCCAACATCGGCGAACTGCACTCATGTCACGAAACTGCAGAGTCTACGCATTCCAACATCGGCGAACCGCACTCATGTGTCACGAAACTGCAGAGTCTACGCATTCCAACATAGGCGAACTGCACCGATGACACGAAACTGAAGTCTACGCATTCCAACATAGGCGAGCCGCACTCCTGTCACGAAACTGCAGAGTCTACGCATTCCAACATATGCAAACCGCACTCATGTCACGAAACTGCAGAGTCTACGCATTCCAACATATGCAAACCGCACTCATGTCGCGAAACTGCAGTCTACGAGTCGCACAAGCAAGCAAAAACATGTACTGAACCACTCCAGCTTGGTCCGACACTGCAAAGTCTGACGAA